AGTCAGAGTGAAGCTGGGCGGATCTGACTCCGTGGACACGACAAGAACCGAGATAACTGAAGTTAGATGCTGTCTCAGGGAGACGATGGAGACGTGAAGGTTTCTGAAGGTCTGTGCAGATGGAGGTCTCTGGTTTTATAAATGATGTTCTGATGAGGAGCCTTTGTGTCCTCCTGTGTGGTATCAATATGAGCTTTGGGCGGTTCTGATAAAATAATCGAAGGCAAAGTCTGAACCAGGTCGGGTTTAAATGTGGTGCGTAGAGTTCTGTCACAAAGAAGAAGAACAACAACAGAACATTCCTGATCCAGTAAATCTCTACCACAGAACAGGCGGTTCTGTTCAGCAGCCGTGTGTTGGGTTCTGGTGCTGCTCGAGCCTCTGTGTGCATCAGTGTGTTCATCCAGCCCTAATCTGGCCTCCGAGCTCTGGAAAGATCCCGAGGCCAGAAGATAGTCCTGGACAACAAGGAAAACACGCTGCGACCGCACGCCATCCAGCGGAGACGCTAATCACACGGCAGGAAGTTTACGCTTTGTAAAAATATGCGTTATTTGTCTTAGCCGTGGTTCATGACTGGCTGAGCCGCCGGCATGAGGGAGGCCATTTTCTCCAGTGTTTCTGGACGTGGACCACAGAACAGCCAACACCCCTGTCTATCTTTAGAGCAGGAATCCACCCAAGAGCTGTCAGTCCAGCAGCCAGATCCAGGACTGCTAAGACTCTCCAGACCCCCACACACGGCCCAGCCCAGAACAGCGCCGCTCAGAGACGTCCACACACACACACTGGGCCTCGGTACCGTCCGACGTCGAGGTATTCGCTGGAAGAAAGTAAATAAATCAGGCCTCTGCATCATCGGCGAGGATTACGTAAGAGCCGCTCGCCCACAGAACGCTGCAGCGAGGAAAACCAAAAACAACCTCTTTTTTCTGATGGCTGATTTATCTGCTCTGAACGTTAACTCAATACCTAATTTTTCTTGGACGGCGCTTTTGTTTTTCCAAGTGCTGAGAACCGTGTTTAAAAAGGTCAAAGAAATAATGGTTTGAAAAAACGAGTCGCATTAAATATGTGAAATAGAAAATTACTGCTGCTGAAAAAGAGATTAATGACGCTGCTGTGGCTCCGTGGATCTCACCGGGCCGCGGGCCGGAGCACCTCATAAATCAGGAATCAGGGCGCTGGTGTTTGGCTGATGGTGTCGGAGCACAGAGCTGATCTGGATGCAGCTTTAATCTGGTGTCACATCAGAAGCCTGAGGCGGCCGATGATGCTCTCTGCTGTGATCAGTCTTGATCGCATTGATCAGCGGCTACCTGTGAGGTGAATCATACATGTTCCTGGTTTATGTTCGATCCATACCTGAAGGTCCAGAGCAGGAGCAAGTCTGTGTTTGTTGGTTGTTTCTCAACAAGCAGTGAGAAGACGTGTAAACACTGATTTAAATCCTTCTCCATAAATTACTCATCGATCATTTCCACTTGCCTAATTATATGATATACTATTTCTGTTTATGCATATTAGATACGACGAGATGCAGTGATGATACCAACAATTTATATATCTATAAACACACACACACAGTGAGGAAGCAGAAGGAGACTAGTCAGTACCTGATGGGTACCAGTCGGTTAAAACATCAACCAGAGCTCCTTTACCTGGTGCCGTAGGTCCAGCCCCTCTCCATCCATGTCTTATGCTGTATTCAGTGTTTTATCCGGTAGATCAGTCAGAACCTCCTGGACGACGTCTACATGCAGCTTTTAGGCCCGTTTTCAGAAACAAGTCAGTAAATGCAGAAGTGTGATTGTGTTGCAGCGTTGAGGGGATCTCCTGCTGCTCGCCGGTTTTCTGACAACACTTAAACAGCACTCATGGATTTTGTAGCTTTTACAGATATGTTCCCTCGGATCACTTCAGGGCTGGAGCTGGGACAGACTCCAGGCCCGCCACCCTGCTGAGGACCAGGCGGGGTGTAGATGATGGATGGACGCATGTTAGAGGTGTTCTAGGATCAGCAGAGATCAGGAGGCCGATCAGACACGTAGTCTTCTCCACATAGTGTTTGGGGAACCTCACATGTTCTCTTTGTGAGACATGAGATCAGACAGAACCTTATTGATCCATTTGGTACCTCAGAGAACCTGTTGTTGTAGAAGCAGCACCGACAGAGACAGCAGCTCAGCTCAGGTAGTGAGAGCAGCAGTAGACAAGGAAGCACACTGTTGGATAGACCAGCAGCACCGTGTGAGGAAAGTAGTAATAATAATAATATAATAATAATAATGATAATACTAGTGATAATAATAATAATAATATGTCATAACCAAATCCTGATATTAACGAGTCTGATAAAGGAGTGGGAGGAAGTTTAATGCTGGCAGCCCTAACACGCATTTATCTGATAAATGTTGTCTTTATTTATTTTATTTTATTTTATTTATTAACAATGATCTAGCGACCCCCATGGGGGTCCTGACCCCCAGTTTGAGAACCCTGCTGTGAACCGGCCTGACTGGATGTTTAATGGCTGCTGGCTGTGGAGCCAACAGCAGGCTTCAGGTGAAGCTCTGCAGGCAGCGTCTCCCCAGACCACCAGTAATGCTAACGGTGGCTTAGCAGCAGTGTTAATGCTTCAGACAGCAGCAGCAGCTCCAGCAGCTCCAGCAGCTCCAGCAGCTCCAGCAGCTCCANGCCGTGCGGCTGCAGCAGGCCCGAGTTTAACGGAACCGTCTGGAAAAATACTTTATTATGATCCGGTTCTGGTTCAGAAACTCTGGGCCTTTTTTTAAATGATCTTTTATATTTAATTTTTCTGACCGTTCAAGTTTCTCATATGATGTTATATATTATATTATATTATATTATGTTATATTATATTACATTATAGTATATTATATATCACATTATATATTACAATAAAATATATAATCGGATATTCTATATATATCATAATATAATGTAGAATATCAGATTATATATTATCTGATATATAATAATACAATAATCTGATATTATAACATAATATATATTATCATGTTATATATTATAACATGATAATGTATATTATAATATATAATGTGATGTTGTGACAGTGACCAGAACCCTCTGACCATCGGCCTCATTATTTTAATAGCCTAGCATATAACCTATACTGTATCCTGTATATATAACTTATCTTATTTTTTATACTTAAATCTCTTCTATTTTTCATTTTTTTGCTCTTTATTTTGTACTTTATTATGTATGGCACTGAAGGAGCTGCTCTCAATCTCATTGTACTTGTGTATAGTGACAATAAAGGCATTCTATCTTCTATTCTATCTAATATAAGCTATAAATCTGCTCTTTACGCACCAGAGGCCGGAGCGGTCCGGTACCGGAACACTGCTGTAACCGTGTGAGGCTAGATGTGTGGAGATGTTTTATTCTGGGGGTTCTACTCGTCCATGTCTGCCCGTGGACATAAAGGCCGTTAAACGGAACCCTTTACAGACTCCAGAGAACTAAAACATGTTCCACCGTGTTGAAGGTTCTGCTGTCAGAACCCTAACCAGCTGTTGAGCAGCTGGTTAGGGTTCTGACAGCAGAACCCTAACCAGCTGCTGAATGTTCCTCCGTCTCACCTCTCCGTCCCGTGCAGGCTACGACGCCCCGGGCTCGGTGCTCCTGTCCCCGGTGCCGCACCAGATGATGTCCTACATGAACATGGGCAGCCTGTCGCGGACTGAGCTGCAGCTCCTCAACCAGCTCCACTGCCGCAGGAAGCGGAGGCACCGCACCATCTTCACCGACGAGCAGCTGGAGGCCCTGGAGAGCCTCTTCCAGGAGACCAAGTACCCGGACGTCGGCACCCGGGAGCAGCTGGCCCGCAAGGTCCACCTCCGGGAGGAGAAGGTCGAGGTGAGGCGCGCTCTGGCTGCTTGTAAACCCGTCCTCAGTCAGCGGACCGGGCTCGTGTTTGTAGGTGTAGCTGAGTTCTGCTGCAGCGGAAACATTTAATCTGTGCGTGAATTAAACTGGACCGAACATGTGGGAGCAGGGTCTGATCCGCTAACCCGAACCCTCAGCCTGCTTCAGCACCAGAACCATTACTGTTCATCTTTATATTAATGCAGTGAAATGCAGAGAAACTGGATTCTGACCGTGTTTCCTGCTCAGAACTTTAACTCAGTCTGGATCTGATTCAGTTCCTGTCTTTGGTTTGTTTGTTATTGAGCTGATTATTTGATTTAGAAGAAAACAGGACGTGAACGAACACATCACGATTTATTATTATTATTAGTAGAATAGAATAAAACTTTATTGATCTCTTCGGTGTAAACCTCAGAGAAATTGTTAAATAGTATTATTATTATTATTATTATTTTTATGGACGGGTAGAACCAGCAGGACTTTGTGGACCTGATGCTCGGAGCAGCAGCCGTGTTAACCAGCAGAACCACGTGTACTGAACTCCTCCAGCAGCTTGTATTCATGGTGTTCTGGTATGTGGGTGGAGGAGCTGATACAGCAGCAGGTTCTCACAAGCTGTTTAAAAAACTAAATCATAAAACGGTGAAGATGACTTGCGTCAGATCTCCACGAGTCGGAGTGTAGTCTGGGTTTCACATGGTTCTGAGGTCCAGCAGGTTAGTTATCCAAACTAAACGAACCAGTTCTACCAGAACCGTGTCAGGATGAAACTCTGATGTTCCTCCGTAAACATCTGATCAGATCCAAGTTAAAGGACCAGGGCTCTGATTCCAGGTCTGGTTTTCCATGGTTGCTGAAATGGACCAGGTTCAGGTGTTATATAAGAACCACGGCGGCTCCGGTCCAGAAAACCATCAGATGAGTGTGTATTTGCTCACATGTAGCTTATATGTGAGCTGTGGTTGGGCTTCCCTCTGATAGCTGGGCTGCTCTGGGCTGCAGGTTCCCCTTTTGGTTCTGATCACGTCCTCCTGGGTTGGGTTCTATCAGCTCTGTTTATCTGGATTTCTTAGTCATGTGCAGTAATTAGCAGGGACCACTGTGAGCTGGAAGTCCACCTGGAGAGGTGTTAGAACGGAACCAGAACAGTGCTGAGGGAGGCTAGAACATGACCCAGTCCTCTGCTGGGTTCGACAGGCCACGGTACCGAGTCTGGTTATTGATTTGTGACGATCTGCCTCTTTTTTTTTTGTTTGTATTTTTACTCACTCAAATAGTACATTATTTATTTATCTATATATTTATATATCTATATATCTATATCTATGTATATCTATATCTGTAGTTAGAAGTGCATGTAATTTGACAGCACGGTACCGATAATGCAGCTCCAGCTGACGGTTCCGTTTACTGCTGCGGCCGGTCCACGAACACATGATCGTGCTCGTGTGCTGCTGTGTCGGAAAAACTGGACCTCTACAGAATCCAGAACTTCGGTTCCTCTTCAGTCTGATGTGATCCATCAGCAGAACTCGGTCCGCTTAGTTCTGTTCTTCTGGCATAAAACATCTGAGTATCAGTTAGAACAGGATCGGTTCTTCTGACCAACAGAAATATTAATAAAATTCTGAATACACGATTTATTATTATTTTAAAGCGACGTTTGTGTATCAGCGGCTCTGAAGCAGCGTTTCCTCCCCGCCTGTCATTAGTAATCACTATATATTATTATTATTAATAATAATAATAATGATAGGAATACATATAATAATACTAGTACTACTAATATATATATATATGTATGTAATAATAATAATAATAATAATAATAATAATAATAACAATAGTAATAATGTTCTTTGCTCCAGTGAGGCCGGGGCCCGGAGCCTGGCCCGGGGCCTGGCCCGGAGCCTGGCCCGGGCCCGGAGCCTGACCCGGGCCCGGGCCCGGAGCCTGGCGGCTGGCGGCTGGATGCTGAGCTTCACCGTTTGAACGCATTTTAATGTAAATGAGCGGATAAAGTCTGATGAGTCCGTTCGGTTATATTATTAGAACAGAACCTCATCAGCGAGGTTCTGTTTGAGCTGATAAATCCGTTCGTTTTATTCTTTATTATTTCCAACACTTTACACATTAACGGAACCAGCACAGGTCCAGTCTGCTCCGCTCACCACCACACATATGGATAATGAAGGCCTTTATTCGGAACATTTCCGGTCACCAGGTCCGGCTGCAGAGCTGCTGCTTTATGGACATTAACGTTTGTTACGGTCCCGCTGCCCGACCGGTTCCGTCCCAGAACAACTTGTTTGACATCACCATACATTTACATTTACATTTAGTAACGACATTTAAATTCGTTACGTGAAAATACAAATTAAATCCGCGTGAAAACCAACAGCCGACTGGGTTCAGAAGGACGGTTTATCAGAATCCACCAGAACCACGGAGGGGCGGCCTCTGAGCAGCTCCGGCTTTATCTTAAATTATATATTAAATTATAACTAAAATAAAACAATGAGAATGACCATTTACATGATGAATTCTGGTCCAGTCGGACCATCTTAAATCCTTTTTTTTTAATAAAGTCAAACCCATTCCTGTTAAAGGAACCGTTTAAATGCTTCACAGCGGAACCAGCCGCTGGACGAACAAATGAGAATCAGACACCGTGTCCGTGGTGGCCATCGGTCTGCTTTAATATGTTCTGCTCGTCCTCCGGACCGGGTTCTCCTAGTTTCTGCTAAATTAAAGTGAGCGCGTCCCCGGCAGCCGGCAGCGCGCAGACAGGACGCAGGATGGACAGGAACCAGAATCACAACATTTAATATCCATAGAAAGGTCACAGAACATCACGATATATTCAGACGTGTGGCGGTCCGCGGGCCGGTACCGGTACAAACGACTTAAATTAAATATAAATACGGGACACGTCAGTATAGGATGCCGGTATGTACACCTGTGCAACAGCGAGCCGTCCAGTCCTGTGTGCTCAGCATCAGCTGTCCGACTCCACGTCGCTTTTGCTCTCCTCCGGCTTCTCCGCCGCCGCCGCCGCCGCCGCCGTTTTGGGCGCTTTGCTCCATTTCTGAGAGTTCTCCGACTCCTCCGAGGAGGAGCGCTTCTGCCGCCGCCACTTGGCGCGTCTGTTCTTGAACCAAACCTGAGCGGCACAAGAACACAGCGTTAGTGTCTGATGGCTGGGTTTGTGTCTGTAACTCGGTTCTGGATAATATAGATAATACAGCAGTCTGTCCCCATAGAGCCCAGAACCCTCCTGGTCCAGCATATTTAACACCGAACCGCTGCTACGCGCTCTCCGGTTCCGCCACCGAGCAGCTGATCACACCGGTTCCGTTTCTCACACATTCTCCTTCTACAGTGGTTCTGTGGGTCGTACCGCTCCTCCGGGTTCTCTCACATCACAGGCCTGCAGCCCGTCTCAGAACCGAACTTCTGCTTTTAGCATTATTATTATTATTGTTTCTTATTATTGTTTATTATTATTGTTTTTGATTATTTCTGTTATTATGTTTACAACAAAACACCTCAAAACTCAGTCATCTGTAATTACAGCCCGCCTTCACATGTCCCTGCTTATTATTATTATTATTATTATTATTATTATTATTATTATTGTTG